CTCGGTTCCCCAAACAAGGCAGGACTGTGTACACTAGAAGTTAAGAGGTCAGCCAATCCAGCAGAGATATCAGGACTGTGTGGCTTTGCTGAGCCCCACAGTGTATCTCATCTTTATGATGTAGGGGGGTCTTAGTGACTTAGGCTGTCATAAAGGCTCCATCAGTCAAGATGGATTAGAAAAAACAGAGCAGATGATGGGTTCTGTCTAGGTCAAAGGCAAATGTGGCAGGAATTGTGTAGAGCTGGAATTTCCAAAACGAAAACTTAACAGAAAACCAAAAGCGATTATTTATAATTTCTCTAAGTCCCTAAAGCCTGAATAGCAGATTGCCAACGGGATTTATAACATGAAAATACCAGTGAATCCCACTATGACAACTGCTACTCAGAAAAGAGATTCAGTGGAATGGGAAACAGCACAGCCACTTCCCTAACATGGCAGAGAAGGAAGCCTGTAGAAGAAGACAGTGCAATGGAAGGTCCCATGCTGAACTGCAGATTATCTGGGCTTAGACAGATGATGGGGCAGGTACCTACTGTTTCCTGTTGGACCCAGAAGCACTAGGAGCAATAAGCATCAGTGAATGGACACGGAGATGGTGTAGTGTAAGCGAAAAGGAGTGAGTATGTCCTAAGAACGGGGAATGTCCCCCTGGGATGGACAGTCAAACGTGGCCCATGGAGGGGCAGCAGACGGCAGCAGCACAAGCGCAGAGCCAGTCACACCCTGGAAGACGACACCCTGGCTCCGCTGAGCCCCAGGCCAGGTGATAAGCACAAGCCTGTACCTCTTGTTCTTTTTTTTTTTGGGGGGGGTGCATTAAAGAAATACTCCAGAGGGAGGAGTCACAAAGAATGATTAGACACTTTAAAGATCGTAGGGTAATGCTCCCCATCCATCTATTCTTGTTGTCGTGAACACTGCTCTTCTGAGAAAAGAACTGCAAGAAGTAATGGGGCCTTTCTGTGCTGCACCTAGTCTTGAAAATTACTTTTTAGTAACCTTGTAGCTGTTGTACATTGATACTAGCTGGCATGTGCTTGGAACGAATGGACTGCAGTGAGCCTTCTGAGATCCTGCCCACACTGTGTAAAAAGGTCTCATTATATAGTGCTAACCGAAGTGTTTCACAGATTTAAAGAGACATCTGAAAGACAGGAAAGTACACGCATAGGAGCAAGAATGGGAAATAACTGGGACAGGGTGCATGGGTGAGATGTGCAATGATATTCTAGAGTGTTTTATAGTTAGACAAGGTACAGGTAATATGTAATGAGTGATTGAGAAAATCCTACAACAGTCTATGCCTGTAACATAAATCTGTGGCTAACGAGTGTGAACATAGACATCAGGCATGAGGAAAAAAAGGCACTCCTAGAAGCCCTAAGGCAACTGAACAAAATCCCAGTGCCAGGAATTCTGGGATGCTTCCCTATGACTGTGGACCCAAAGACTCCACACACAAGATTTTACCATTTCTATTAATTGCATATGAGAACTGGATTGTAAGAGTCTAGTGTAATGCCTAGATGTAAGAGTCTAATGAGATGAACATAGTAATGGATGATTCCATACCACTAAATATAAATGAGCAAATGAAGGGAAGACTTGTACAATGCAAACTCACAAATGCATAAAGAATGATGAATAGTTTATCACTTTCCACAACAGTAAAGCAGTACTGTTTGTAATACAATGTGAGAAGAAAATAAAAAAGTTGTCAATGTGAGCAAGACTTTGATAGAGAAGATGGTGCTATTTTTAGAAATCTGCCATAAAAGAGGAAATACTGACTCAGAGTAGAGACACCAGACAAAATAAAATTGCCAGATGATCAAAATTCAGATGATTTGTAAAGGTGCCAGATACTAAGATCAGTTTTATGATGCTCTCACAAAGAAAACATTTTTGCTCAGTCGAGTCACAGAGGAAACATCATAAGTCCTGGTGATGGCTGGGACGATTTCAATGAGGATGGTCCCCATAGGCTCACATATTTGAATGCTTCTTTCACAGTTGGTGGAACTGTTTGGGAAGAGTTAGGAGGTATGGCCTTGCTAGATGGAGCATGTTACTAAGGGTATGCTCTGAGGTTTCAAAGCCCACACCAAGCTCCAACCCAAGTTAGAATTCATCCCTATTCTCTCTCTCTCTCTCTCTCTCTCTCTCTCTCTCTCTCTCTCTCTCTCTCT